CGGCCATGGGCTCGACGCCGGGGAGCAGCTACGACTGCTCCTTCAAGGTGCTGCTCATCGGCGACTCCGCCGTCGGCAAGAGCAGCCTCCTCGTCAGCTTCGTCTCCGCCGCCCCCACCGACGATGACATCTCCCCCACCATAGGTATGTATCATCACCTCACCCCACCTCCCTCCCTCCCTCCCTGGATCTCGCTCGCTGCTTGCCCCGGCTTGGGCACGCAACATCCAGCAATAAATACATCCTGTCTCTCGCTACCAAGCGTCCGGAGACGGCAGCCGTCCGATTCCGGGCGGCTCTACCATGCGCGCCCCGCTGTTTCATTCACAGTATCAATCAGATTTCGTTGCGCCGTGCGTATACGTACCAAACGCGCCTACGTAGTACTCCTACATGATAGTTGTTGGGGGAACAGTTCAATTCATTTGAGGGATCGACCAACACCGCCATGCCTACTTGCGGAACGCCGCAGATGTTTTGCTTCTGCTGTTTCAGCCACCCTCCGGCTCCGTAACTGCTTATTAATTGCTTCGCCATCTGTGTTGCAGCTAGTATCCAACTTTGACCAATTCTTACACTTATTTTAGCTATTCCTGCCTAAACATTTATTTTAAGGAACCTTGAGCCAAGGATGGATGTTTGTCTGTTCCTTTGCCAGAGGCTGGAAATTCAGTGCAAACATGTGTAAGCAGTTGTCTAGGATGCATCAGGTTGCCATCTTCTTCTTAAAACACCAGGACAAAATTCGGCCATCCTTTTCTGGGTGCTACTAGTTCTGACCAGGCACAGGAGAGAACACTGAAAGTGCCCCTAGTTCCTGCATAACTACTAGCAAACAGATTTACCCTCATCATTTTTTAGGATCAATTCGCTGACAGTAACCTGCTCAAAGTGCATATATGTTTGATGTTATTTTTCTCGATCCAAATGCAATCGGAGTTATATATTACTGTGGGGCACAAACGTTCTATATGTTCATATCAGCTAAGTTTCTGAGCAGAGCAAAATACTCCACTCCTCTAACAGCTAGCAGCCCCTGCCTGACCTTATTATGTCCTGAATAGGAATCCGTCCAACTGTTCAGTTATGGACTCATGATCATCTTCTTGTATAAGTGTGCCTTTTTGCTGTATTCTCCCTGTTATTTACTTGCCAGGATTTAGTTTTAATCCACAACAATTTCTTTCCAGGGGTGGATTTTAAAATCAAGTTTCTCACTGTTGGGGATAAGAAATTGAAGTTGACAATATGGGACACCGGTAAGATTTTTGCTTATGGATATGGTGTTTACATGCTTTCCCGACAATTTTTTGTCTATGTTACTTATATGCTTTTCAGGGGCAATTACTCCTCTGCAGTATGCACTTCCGGACTTCCAATAGTACCCCCCAAATTACGAACCTACTTGTCATTTGCCCCCGAATTGTTTTTTTGCCCGGCCATAGGTCATTACTTGGGCTGTTCTGTCCCGAGCACAATCACCTTACTATACAACGTGTAAAGAAAATATTTCTAGAAAAACACTGCATTCCATTCTACTGAGCAGTGTGTTTCTGTACAATACTTCTCTGCTGTATCATGTTCTTCTACAGTCTATTGTATCTAATGGTGTTCCTACAATATCAAGTGTTTGACCAACTGAATTTCTTTCTTTGCAGCTGGCCAGGAGAGGTTTAGGACAATCACTAGTTCTTACTACAGAGGTGCTCATGGAATTATCTTAGGTAATATGATTTCTCCTAAGATTTGATTAATGACCATGATTAGAAGCACTAACCATTTTCCATGTGTGACTTACAAATGTACTTCCATGCCATCTTACTGTTAAATATAATTGTTTAAATTGTTTCCTTGCTCTTCTGACACCACTAAATTTTGGCTTACAGTTAATCTTGCAAACTTGTGCATGCTCAACTCTGGTGCCACTGTTAATGGTCCCAAACATGTCATATAAGCCGAGCAAGATGCCATACTCAATAGTGATTTCTGAATAATAAAGTGACTTCTCAAGTTTAGCCGTTATCTAGATGCATGTATCCTTCCCACCAAGTTGATAGTTGTGCTTGTTAGCTGTAACCATTCCATTCGTGTACCAATTCTTGGATATGCTTCCAATGGGTGTTTAACAAACATTGCCGTTTTTCGTCATACTAGATTGAATTTGTCACTGAACTTAGATGTCACCTCACTATGATAATGTACCAACAATCATTTTGTAGCGTTTGGTGAATGGAAACTTCTATTGAGATTAGTGATGCTCAAATGCTTGTCACGATGACTTGTAGCAACAAAATATATAGAAAGAACCCTTACAGTATTTCATTTTATTCTGCGGAAGGTGTTGCAGGTTAACTTGCAGAAGTTTTAACTTTGTGCTGTCTTCTTCTGTTAGTTTATGATGTCACGAAGAGACAAAGTTTCACAAATTTGGCTGATGTATGGGCCAAAGAAATAGAAATGCACTCAACAAACAAAGAGTGCGTCAAAATGCTTGTTGGAAACAAAGTGGACAAGGTATATTTTCTTTCATTTAAATCAAATGGTTACTTGCTGTGACGATTGTTCCATTTCAGCTCATGTTGATGTTTTACATTTTAAATACAGAATTATTTGGTGGGTGAGTGATAAGTTGTTAGATCAGTTTTAGGTCCCGTTGCATGAATATTGAGCCCTCAGATACTACATGACACTTGGATAGAATGGGTGAAGAGAAGAATTTTGCTCATACAATGAGATTGATTACCCAAAAAGAAAATACACGTTTAAGGTTTAACCTTATTAAATGCTACCCATTTAGGCTAGTCATAGTGGGGAGTAACTTAGAGTAGTGTCATGCATATGACACTAGTCTATGTTACTACCTTCATAGTGCAAAGTAACATAGAAGTAGTACCATAGGTAATTGCATTTATTAGGTTGTAGACTCATTTTGCTTTGGGTTGCGCTATGTTACAGTAACATATTATGTTACTCTAAACACCTCTCTCCTTATTAACTACATGCCACATAAGCAAACTAGTCTTGAAATACGCTATGTTACTCCCACTATGACCAGTCTTACAGGAATAATGTGCAAGATGAAGTAACACTACTGTCTTCTGAATATTATGGTTTTACCTTGCAGGATGAGGACAGAATGGTAACAACAGAAGAAGGTCTTGCCTTTGCACAGCAGTGTGGATGCCTTTTTCTTGAGAGCAGTGCCAAAACAAGAGAAAATGTGGAGAAATGTTTTGAAGAGCTTGCACTAAAGGTAGACGCAGAGGAACATACTAAGCACCATAACCTTAACCTCTTTACTTTTTGAGCACCCTGAAAAGTTAACTTGTAAAGCTATGCATCATTCCGTGCAGTAGCATTATTAAAGTTAAAAGTTAAAACTAGCAGTGAACATTTCATCATTGAAGTTTGTACTAGCAATTTAGAATACGACCATGTGCTTCACAAAACCAATCTTCTGGCAGTGAACATTCCCTTACTAGATGAAATGTATTTTATAATTGTTATCCCATCTTATTGCAAAACACAGCTAGAGATAGTATAGGCTTGTTACATTGACATAACTGCTATGTTTATTTCAGTAGTATACTGTTCCTGTGTCCCGAATCTTGAATCTGTCTTTCAGAGATGTATCCTGAATTTGTTGTTGCGCATACCTTTTATTGTATATGCTCAACACAATAATCAATTTTTGTTGTGCTGTCACCCATTAGTTCGTTAAGTACCATACACTTGAGTTCCTGGACTTGAGAACAGCCGCTTTAGGTCTTTGAACCTGTATTACTAAGTCAACAAATTTACAATTTTTTAGAGGCAGTAGGAGAGCAGTTATAGACCATTGCAGTTGCTTAAGTGTTAGGACTTGTACAATGCTAGGTGCTTATGGAGGTGCTTAGAAAAATAAATCTGGTTTTCTGAAGCACCAATGCCTATTTCTAGAGGAGAGACGCCTAATTAAGTGTCTATCCTGTATAAATAAGCACCGGTGCTTAAGAAAAGTCTGGTTTATTTCTTCAAGCACCTCCCCTAAACACCTTGCATTGTACAAGGCCTTATAGTTTTCTCTTCCCATACCGCCACTTGGGCATAGTGGTTGCCTTTTGAGAGGAGGGAAGGGCAAGCTAGTCTTGAGGCAACCTCTTTGGGCAGCATATCACCAGATGTACTGACAAAGGACATGCTTGAGCCAATTGTCTGTTTTGTCAGATGATTGACTTTATGCACTATAATGACTTGTTTTCACATCACTATATGTTACATATTCCTTCTGCCCTTGGGTATGGATAGTGCAGTTTCCCCCCTGATTTCTGTATGTCTTAGCAGCGTATGTGCTTATATACAATATATGTGTTGAACAGCCCTTTTTCTTTTGTCATAAAAATCATGCAGCTCCATGCGAAGGTACAAAATTTCATTCAGAAACAAGTTGAATACGATTTTTTTTTAACAAGATAGGAGCTAGATGTAAGCCTTATTGATATCTCCACTCATCGGTGTCACACAACTCAGAATTTCTGTTCTGCAGTTTAAAACATGTGTTCTGAAGTGGTAGCTAGCAAGTAGCAACTATATTTCCTTGACTCACAGTAATACAACATGACGCTCCCCTTGTTCAGAGAAAGTGTAAATACCTTTGCTGTGTTGCAGATTCTCGAGGTCCCAAGTCTGTCGGAGGAAGGCTCGTCCGTCGTCAAGAGGAACTCGCTGAAACAGAAGCACGAGAAGAGCGGGGGATGCTGTCAGTAGAACCGGCCACTGTATGCAACCAACTAGATCTACCTAGGCCTAGACTGTTCTTGGTGTTCTGATGTAAATGAGTTGTATCTAAGTGCTCATCGGTGCGAGTAAAGGGAGAAATAACAGCTTGAGGTTTTGGTGTGAAGGATGGGCGGGGAAGTTAATTGACCTGTACAAATGAAGAAGAAGAAGAAAAAAAAACTTTGTTTCCTGACTCGGCGAGCTGATGCGCTTCCACACTGGTGTGGTGTGCGTGGGAGTGTGCTGCTGGTACATAATTCAGGGGCGTTTCCTGGTCTCAGCTGGTTATCTTTTGGTTCTCTCTGTAACCTCTGTATGTATGATCTTGGATTTTCTGTGGAATTTTCATCTGTTATCCTGTTGAAGCCATTTCATCGTGTCTTGCTGTGACACAGCCTTATGAGGAGCACCATCGCTAGCCTGATCTGACCTCGGTCCTGGCGACGCGACTGTGCTGAATCAATCACATGCATGCATCCAACTCTTGTGTCGATCGAGTACTGGTTAGCAAGGCTTTCTCTTGTGATCATCTCAACTGCAGTGTAGCAGATGCTTGCATGATGACTGCATAGTGTTCACGTACCTGCATTGTCCAATTGCTCGTTCTTGTGAACAAACAGTGGACGCCGGAAGGACAAGCAGCAACCACGATGGGCTCCCAGCCCAGGAACACGTGCACGTGATGCGTGCAGCGACCAGTGGCGTTTCTCTCTGCACGGACAAAGAACGACCATGTATGTATCCCCGCGCCTTTGGCGGGCCGGGTTGCATCAGGATACAGGACAAAATGCGCCAACAGTGTATGCACATCTCACTAAATTAGTACGCAGTACGGAGTAGTAGTACCCAACGTGCGGTCATAATCAGTACTCTTGAGACTGTTGCACAAAATTTCCATGCATGGGGAACCGGGGTCAAAATCTCCCTTGTCTACTGCTCTTGCATGAACCCCCATGGCCATGGGCCTGGCTGCATGTATGTCTCAAATAATACAGAGAAACGATGTGGCCCATCGGTGAACAGGCAAGGCGAACGATGTACGCCCATTTTTAGCCAATAACGGGGCACAAGTGCACAAGAAATGATAGGATTCAGTGTAATGAAAGACAAAAAAATAAAACACGGGGCTACTACATCACAGCCACAGGCCGCCGCGTATGGCTTCCCTGGTAGGAGTATATGTTTACTCCTATGAAATACTCAGTTGGTGGTGATGGTGTCTCTGTCATCCGTTATTTCTGACCATCAGATCTGTACCTAACGGCTGTGAGGTAAGCTGTGTCATTTTTGCAACAAGACCCTACTTCTCTGCTCCAACTTACAGAAAACTCATTGGTATCTTAAAACTAATCACGTCCCTCCGTCACCTCAAAACAGCCACGAGAAATATATTTTGAGTGAAACTTAATATGAGCATATTTTGATGATATATATGTTTTTCTTTTAAGTTTGTGAACATGTATTATTCTACTTTGTATCCGTTGCAAACGCATGGCATATTGCTGGTTCCCATGAAAGCACAAGAATGGTTATGATCCATGCAAAAAAGGAGAAGCAAGCTGCTGGTTCACATGCATTTCGAAAAGTTTCACCGGGAAGGGAACAGTGGCAGAGGTCTCCGGAGCAGGCAGCAGAATTATGAGGGCATCTCTGTCACCCTGATCGACCGATCTTTTCCGGGGAAGTGGCGCCAAGAACCCGGTGCGTACGGAGCGGTGGCCGGGGCCACGGCCTCGCTGGCCTTGTCCGCGGCTCCGGTCCCCGTGCATGGCGCCGGCGCCGGCGGGTTCCACCGATCCAGTCAGCGGCGCAATCACAATCATCAACCCTTTGCATGGGTGCCGGTGCCGCGACGGCATCCAATGGCACTTTTGATGCAGCGGTAATCTATACAAGATGCCTTTTGGTTTACACTAGTACTTTACTACTTACTACTAGCTACTCCGTGCAACTGTGTCGAGAGCTAGCGTGTCCTTCACCGATGCTGCTGTCAGGTCGGCCGTTCCGCCGAGCGAGGTTGCACCAGTATGATCCACTGGCTGAGAGGACGCATCCGATAATGAGCTACTCACTCCGTTCGGAATTACTTGTCTTAAAAATGGATGTATCCCGTCTAGATACATTCATTTTTGAGACAAGTAATTCCGAACGGAGGGAGTAGCTGTTACGGTCACGCGGAGCCGGCAAAATCACATCCACGGGGGATGTGACTGCTCCGTGGATTTGCTTCTGGGATCAACGGTAACTGCAGTTCCTCTCAGCCGTCGGATGCTCTTTCACCCGCTTCGCACTCAGCCCTCGGATAACCGACGAAGCGCTCTTCTGTAAATGACATGGACTGGCTGAGACGTTCAGCTCCGGCCCCGCGGTATCGTCGAGGTGAAGATGGATTAGCCATCGATGTCGGAGAAACGGCCGGCCATGGCTTTAGGGTCGACAGGTTCCTATCTCCATCTTTCTTTCTTCTCTCTACCCACATCATCAACCCATCTCATCTCTAGAAGAGAGTGCCTGCCCAGGAAGACGACCGTGCCGGATAATCTCGGCTCCACGTCAGGCGATCTCCCGCGACGTGGAGAGATTCAATGCCGCAACAGCGACGGCTTCACATCCTCATCACTCAGTGTTCATCATTGCCAGTGACACCACTTTGTAATAATAACCGTGCTGCGCTGATGTGAAGGCTGGATGGAGACAAATACCAGCGCGCGCGTCACACTCGGTTCGTATGTACTAGACGGCTATCTCTTGCTACGGCCCAAACATCTGCGCTTTCGACTTCTTTAACACTCCTTCCGATCCATATTAATTATCGTCGATTTAATACAACCGACGAAGCATTGTCCATGTAGTCCCTAATCACAGCTCGGTTTTTCCCGATCAAAAATCGCAGCTGGATTAGCTCTGGTGTCGCGATCAGGTGATCGGATAAAACAAACCGGGAAGATATATTATATGCGAGCGATTAGGAAACTCCAACGGAGCGGTATTTATATACCCCCTGAAGAACCCTTTTCTTAAATCACAGCTTGGGTTAGTCCACACACACCGAGCAAACTAAGACAGACTTTTTTTTGACATGAAATTAAGACAGTTCTGGCGTCGTAATCAGGTGGTCAGACGAATAAGCTGCGAAGATAACGCTGAGCGACAGGCGCGATCCATGATTGATGTGGTCCGGACAGACACTTGAAGTAATAATATCCAAACACCACTATTAGATTAGAGCCGCCTCTGGTGTTCAATAGGTTTGGATGATAACAATTCCCTGACAAGAGGATTATTCCACCGAAGATTCCAACGGATTAGCAAACGAGACAGTTCAGACTTCAGACTGGAGCTCTGTTTGAATGCCTAGCTAGCCGAAACCAGCATTTAATTACCGGGAGTGCGTCATGCATGCGTGCCGAGGAAAAATGTGAGTACTAATACTACTCTACTTGGTACTCCCGAATTATTTGTCGGTGAAATGGATGTATCTAGACGTATAATATAAATTCAAATAAATTTATTTAATTACTGCAACTTGGTAGTGGTAGGTGCCTGCAGGTCTCGGCGCCAAGCTGCGTTTCAGCTAACAGCCACCTCATCAGTTGCTCAGTACGCCGCATACATACATAGCCGCATAAGACAGAGACAAAGCTGGTATTAATTCGGTTGCTGATGGTGATCATTAGTAGGGCCGGGCATTCGGTTTATATGGTTAATACGGTTCGGTTTATTCGGTGTTTTATAATTTCGGTTTTGAAGAAATGGAAACCGAATTAATCACACAATATTTAGAAACCGAACCATACTAACCATAATATATCGGTTCGGTTTATTCGGTTAACCGAAAAACCAAAATACATGCACTCATCAGTATATATCACAAGAGCTAGCAACCTTAACATCAGTCAGTGCTTTATTCGGTCAAGAAAACTAGTGAACATAACTAAGTGTAAAATCACATGGGGCGTTACATGTATTATGTACGGAAGAATATGTGTGATGCGTGTAAACTAAGCAACTCATGCATTAATTGATACACTAATTGCTAGTATTCCATAAGCAAGCGCCGGGCATGCATACATACTCCTAAGCGATATTGCATGGATAGAAATCTTAATAAGTTTTCAAACAAAAAAAAAGAAATCTTAATAAGTACTTGGTAGAAGGATACGGCCATTGACTATGTTGCATGCAAACAGTAGTAAAATAATCTAAACAAATTCAGTTAGCCATGCTAGTATGGCGTTACATAGGAGTACTAGTTAGCTTGTGAGATTAGAAACTCATCTAGGGGCTGGCCTGACGTCTGCCACAACCAACAAGTATTTGTCAGAGGACGCGCCCCCGCTGAACTTTCGAAAACAAGGTATTGCATGGGGTATAGTACATATCGGTTTTTTCGGTGTATTCGGTTTTTGGGCACTGGAAACCGAACAAAAACCAAACACCGAACAACCTTAAAATTTCCCACCGAACAAAAAATCGAATCACCGAACTAATAGATAAATCGGTTAATATGATTCGGTTCGGTTTGGTTTTTCGGTTTTCGGTTCAAAAATGCCCACCCCTAATCATTAGTGCTTCGGCCGCTAGTTAGTCGTGCAGTTGCTGTGCGCGGGAGAGAAAACAACAGTTTACGCACTCCACTCCACAGAAGAAGACACAACGTAGTACAGCAAAATAATGGTGACGTGTCCGTACGTGTCATCCCGGCCGGAGTTAGTGGCGGTCAGGCCGGCGGAAGAACCGAAGCTGCACGAGCCGTCTGCAGAGCTCTGCCGGCGACACACCGTCGACGTGCGGCTGAGCGATCAGCACGTACGTGCGTACGACACTTGCTCTTGCAGGAGCAGCACCGTCGCGGAGGCGTATTACGCGGGGAAATCAGAGGAGTTGATCGGGTTTTCAGCTCCAATAATGCTCCTTCGTCCCCCTTCCTCTTGTTTGGAGTTGTTGATCTAATAATTCCTTAATCTCTTAACTACTAAGCTAGTACT